CAAAAAAAAAAATCCCCCCCTGCATCATCTTGAGGAGCAGGCGAAACCCGCGTCGGGGAAGTCGAGAAAAGAAGTGGCGGCATATTGGACTTGCTAATGCTACACAAATGTATTCGCCCCCCATATCGTTGCGTTCCGGGGGCAGCAGCGAGGGCACAGGTACCACCGGGAGCGGCTGACTCTCTGGCTCGCCTGCTGACAATACTCTTGGGAAAGGGGGATGCCAACTACTGCCGCCGTTGCTGCTGCTGCTGCTACTGCTCCTGAAGTCCCCCCCCCCCTCTCCCCCCACGGATGTGAGCCAATTTATTCGGTCTCGAGGGCGGACGCGAGACGACGGGCGGAGTGGATGCGAAACTGACACTGAGCTCGCCCACGACTCCGAGGGGGCATAAACAAGCGCTAACAGTCTGCGGCCAAATACAATTTGCATCTGTCTTTCAACCATACACATTTTCTATTATTGGAAAACAGTCACAATAACAACCATTACAACCGTATGGATGGATTGCGTTAAAAGATCTTAAAATTCTAACAAATTCTAAAAAAAATACAAAATTCTGTATCGTTTTTACGCAGTAATTTGCACATCACATTTGATACAAACTTCTGTATCAAAAACGGAACAGACTCCTATAATGTAAACAAAAATCTGTAAAAGATTACTGATTTTTGTATCTGTTATGAAAGTCTGTATTGTTGTGTTACAGAAATTTGTATCAAAAGTGATATGCAAATTACTGTGTAACAATTTACAGAATTCTGTACTGATTTTTTTACAGGCTTCAGCAGTAAACTTAACTACTATGATACCTTGTCAAAAAATTCTGCAATCTTACAACAAATTGTGAAGAAAATGACTGATCAATTTTTGTTAGTAACACTGTACTTTTGTTTTACACAGTGGTGCGAGACACACGAAGAGACGCACGTCGCCTGCAATCGACTGCAGCTCGTCGACATCCTGGTCATGCCCATGCAGAGGCTCACCCGGTACTCGCTGCTGCTCAAGGCCATCCTCAAAAAGACCGACTGCGAGGAGCAGAGCAAGGACCTCAAGTTCATGGTGCGTGGGGCAAACATTATATACCCTCTGCGTCAATTTTATTTGAACTAAAAAGGACCTCTTTGTGTGATCGATGGCGATCTCTCTTGACGGTTGTTCAGATTCGGAAAGTGGATGACTTCGTGAACAGCGTCAACTCGAAGTTGAGGGAGAGGGAAGACCAAGACAAGCTGAACGCCATCATCGCCAGGATGGAGCCCTACGACGTTGTGGTGAGTAAAGCCGGCTGGTTTTCGAACCCAAACATGTTTGTACTTCAGCGCCTAGAAACTAATCCGATCAAATGTTAACGTACGTGAAATACAGAAATATTGCCATCGAACTGTTGCATATGTTCACAAGACCAACCGCTCATGGCTCGTCTGTTCCACAGGAGTCCAAGGACGAGGACCTGGACAAGATGGTGAAGCTACACAGCCTGCTGGACCTGACGCGCCCCATGCCGGACTGCCCGGCCGCGCAGCGGCGCTACCTGCTGCAGGAGGGCGACCTCCGCCTGCGCGACCTCAACAGCTCCAAGGCGGACGTGCACTGCTTCCTGTTCACCGACATGCTGCTCGTCTGCAAGTCCAAGAAGGGCGAGTCGCGCACGGCGCGCGTCCGAGTCCTGCGGCCGCCCTACCTCGTGGAGCGGCTCGTCATCAACGAGCTGGCCCGCGACCAGCCCACCCTGGCCTGCGTCTACCTCAACGAGTACAAGGTGGTGGTGAGCGCCTTCCTGCTGACGAGCGCCGACGGCAAGGTGATCAAGCGGTGGGCCGAGGACATCCGGAAGGCGCAGCGGTTGTACGCGCAGGCCAAGGAGGCGGGCGCGACGTCGGCGAGCACGGCGCCGCCGCAGTACCACGCGCCGCCGCTGTCGCTGTCGCGGCAGCCCTCCTCGCTGTACGACGAGGACCTGGTGCTGCAGGGCGACGACGCCCCGGAGGCGGACACGCACTCGTACGCGTCCTACTCGCTGGGGCTGTACCCGCACCACCGCAGCCCGCGCGGCTCGACGCGCGGCAGCAGCCTCAACCACTCGCACAGCGGCTCCGTGGAGATGAACGAGGCGTCCTCGCTGAGCAGCGTGTCGCACTCGCGGGGCATCAGCGTGGACAACAACGAGCTGCGGGCGTCGTCGCTCAGCTCGGACGAGGGCATCCCGCCGCTGGGCGCGGACCAGGCCGGCGCGGGCGCGGGCCACCCCGGCGGCGGCGGTGCGGGCCCCGGGGGCGGGCCCGGCGGCGGCGCCCGCGGCCTGCGCAGGTCGCAGCACAGCAAGTCGCCGAGCCCCAACACGCTGAGCATCCAGGTGCCCGTGTTCTCCAACCTGGGCCAGTCGCTGCCCAACCTCAACCTGGCCGCGTCCTCGCCGCACGGCTCGCTGTCCGGGCCCACGGTGTAGAGAGATACGGTGGGGACACTGGGGTACCTGGGGAGGTCCCAGTTTTGGATCCATTATTAGTTACCCAGTGCGCCGTCCGCCGCGCTGCTCGGCAACGCGTACCGATGCTTCTCTCTCGCACAGTGACTACCTGTCTCTCTCGCACGCACGGGCGGGCGCCGGCGCTACGCTACGCCACGCCCGGTACACGTTGCCGAGCAGCGCGGCGGACGGCGTACTGGGTAACTAATAATGGATCCAAAACTGGGACCTCCCCAGGTAGGCCCGGAGCGGCCCAGTGTCCCCACCGTATCTCTCTACACCGTGTCCGGGCCGCAGCCGCCGTGCTCGCTGCTGCTGGTGCCGCCCACGGGCAAGGGCGGCCTGCACCACCACCACCAGCACCACGGGCCGCTCAGCCCCGGCCACCGCGGCACGTCGTACCCGCCGCCCTCGCCGCCGCGCGGGTCGCTGCACCGCTGGACGCCCCAGCGGAACCCGCCGCTCATGAAGATGCGCCACGTGTCCGCCAGCGTGTCGAGCCAGCAGTCGTGCTCGGGCCCCGCGCCCCCGGGCGTCACCTGGGCCGCCCCCGCGGCCTCCGCTGCCGCCGCCCCCGCCGCCGCCGCCCCGTCGGGGCCCCAGCCCGGGCCCGGAGCGCAGCAGGGCAGCCCCACCTCCACCCCCATGCCGTCCAACTTCGACTTCGACGTGCCGCTCATCGGGGGTGTCTCGCCGCCCGCCGGGGAGGCGGCCGCGCAGCAGAGCGCGCAGGGCGGCGGGGCCGCGGGGGCGGCGGCCGGGGGCGCGGGGCCGGGCCAGCAGCCCTCGCCCACCTCGAGGCAGACCTTCATGATGAAGAGGTTGACGCGCGGCGACAACCGGCGCTACCATACCGCGGGGACCATCGACGACGTCAAGGTAAGCGCGCTGGCCGCTGCGGTGTCCCTCCCAACTGAACCCCCTCCTCGACTAACAGCCTGCGTTTCCCATTTCTTTTCCTGTAGAAGGCCGAGGGACGGGACGCTACCATCCACAAGCGCTTCTCGTGGAACTACGGTCCCCAGAGCTGCGGGAAGCGCCAGTCGTCCGGCCACGAGGACGGGGCGCAGGGCCAGCAGGACGTGCTGCTCATCGACAGGGCCACCAGCCCGCTCAAGCCGCCGCCGCAGCACATCACCGGTGAGCAGAGCGCCTCGCTCACGGGGCCGGCGCCGCGCGCGGGGCCCAGGGCCCGTCGCCTCGCTCACGCCCACCTTGTCGTGCTTGCAGACGCCGCGTGGAGCCGGGTGCACGCCGGGTCCACCGAGAGGACCAACTCCTTCCCGGAGCCGGTCCAGTTCCAGAGCCCGAGCGTGGGCTCGAGCCCGAGCGTGTCGCTGTGCGGGGACTGCCCGCCCTGCTGCGGACCGGGCGCGGGGCCGGGCCCGCCGCCCGCCGCCGCCAACGTGGTGGCCAGCGTCACGTCCAGCCCGGCGCTCTCCACCACGAGCCCCGTGCAGCTGCCCAGCCTCAACACCAGCCCCACCACGTGTCCGGACGCCGGCCTGGAGCTCGCCAGCAGCAACCCCTTCCTGGAGGACGTCGTCGGACAGGTGCGTTGCCCTCCCCGCAGAGGCGAGGGGGTGGAGGGGTACCGCACCCGTCCACCCTCGCCCCGGGCTCACCCGCTGTTCTTTGTGATGCACGCTGCCGTCCAGGATATGGACCACCCCGTTCCGTTGGGCAACACTAACCCTTTTCTTGAGTCAACGGATTTCCTGGTGAGACCATTTCTGATCCATGCTGTAAACTATAGCAGTTCTCTATTGAGTAGCGATATTCTAGAGATATTCTAATCTTGGCAATGATTGAGCTGCCTTTACTATGAAAGATCATAAAATAAGTCGGCTCGATTAAAGGTAGACTCTCTCCATGGCCTGAGTTGTGACGTATTTCTTGTTTTGTTTCAGGACGAGCCTTTGCCTTCAACTCATGGCTTCCCATCTGATGAGGTACTAGTGCTCATCACAGATGCTCAAGTTGAATACACGTAAGTGTAATTCTGGTAACATAAGTAACTTGTTTCTTGCTTTCTACAACTAATCTAAAATTGACATTGAAACTGTTGTTTCAGAGATGCCTAATGAGATGATTTTGCTGATCTTCAACCTTATCATCCAATACCGGAATGGTGTCACTTCACAACGCAGGCCTAATTAGTATAGACAGTGTCCGCCAGTTTGGAAAATTCCATTGTTTCTTGACATAATGGATAACTATACTTTATTTGATTGTCCGTCTAGCTTCAGTTACCAGGGTTATTTTTTGCACAAATTTTTTTGGACCCACCTGGAAAGGGACCATTTTTTTGCATTGTAAACTACCTGCTCTCCAAGAAACCAAATCGTAAATGTGGCCATAAATAGCCGTAGATGTTTACTTAGAAGTAGGATTTTCTCTCAAGAAAACTCCAAAAAACATTACTAGTCTGACCAAAATACTTCTCTAGGTAAAGCATTATATTATGGAAGGCAACTGACATATCCTTAGTACAATAAACATAATGTATGTTATGAGATTTCTTCGTCAGTTGTAGAATATGTATGTCTTTGTTGGTATTAATAGATATCAAAAGAGCTGCCTTAATGAAATTGTAAAATATATAGGACATTTAGAAATTAAAAGTTTAATACTAGCTGCAGTACCTGTCCTATTTTAGTATATAGATGATGTCACATAAAAGAAAATTGGTGTGATGTAATCATATCTAGTTTCAAAGCTTTAAAGAGAATGTAAATATACAATACAATCATCTCATTCGAACTGAACCTTCGCATGGCCTAATGATGGTTGGTATGAACCAGTTTTGTAGAATTTTTATTAAATGTTAGAGTCAAATTACTATTTTTCAGTTAAAAATAGGATTCTACTTACTTTTGTACGCTGTCTAATGACGCTAATTATTTTCTCAATATGACCTAACAATAGGTCTTGGACCAATCTTAATGTAGTTCTTATGCAAATATGAAGAGGACTAGAAACAGAAAGAATTTGATAAAAATGTTATTCACCCTTTACCATAAAGCAGAAATGGTATTTCCAAACAAAATATCAAGTTGTACATTTAATATATGCCTAACGCAGCCAGTGCCAGACTGTTTGAAAAAACAGGGAAATCAAAACCAAATGTTGGCACTGATTGTGTTAAGTTTGCCAGTCATATTCATTTTAAGTATTGGTTGCATGTCCAAACAAAACATAGTCTCCTAAACTAATAACAGTTAGTAATATATGCTCAGCAAGGCTGTATAATAACCTTAAGAGAAATGACAGATAACAAATAACACAAAACAGATCTATCTTAAGCAGGTTATTCCTGCTTTCTGTTGTTTTGAAAATGTTTCAGTGGACATTGCCATAAATACTACTTTAGTGGCATAAACCAGGACCATATAAACAGCATAACTAACCGAAACACTGCAATGCATCTGTTATACGTTATCAATTATCTGTTATTATCTCTCCAAGGTTATACAGCATGAAAAAGTGTTTTCCTTCTTAACTGATATGCTCCGATATGCTTCAAAAAAATTTAAACTTCAGGATAGTCTAGTGTGTTTATTTTCAAATAGTTTGCATTTGTTCAGGCTCAAAGAGAATTTAACAACCAAATGTGATGCCTATATTGAAAAAATCAGTAGGATTGCAAGTGATTTTTAAAAATATTCTTCATTTTAAGAAATAGATTAAGTGATTGTCCTCTATCTTCTAAAGTGGACTTTAAATGGGGCGAGTACGTTTAACTATTTGTAAAATTTGGCCATGGTTCAATTGAACCTAAACCTATTTAGCTCAATGATATTTTATTGAGATGTGTAGATATGTAAAAATGTGAAAATTTGCATATTCTCATTGTCTACTTATTTTACCTGTTAGGATCGATTGCTTCTTCTTGTCTGTTTAGAATTACATAGGGTGTAAAACCAAATTCTGTGAAAGTGTAAATAAAAAAAAGGAATGTTTTCTCGTAATCAAAATCTTACATCATTACAATAATAGGCTACGAAGTACTACACCCATTGGGCACCGGGGTAAGTTACTAAATAAGTTAGTATTTAGATCCTGCCCCCATCGTGCTGGCCAGAATTAGTACCTTTAGTAATATACACCACATCTCCTGCTGCTGAGGGAATACTCCTAGTGCCTAGGCCCCCGCGCGCGGAGTATCGACGCGGAGGGACACTACCCCGAACGCTCAGAGACCTTGATGCACGCGGCGTCTTCACAGACACTTCAGATGATTTAAAAATCTGAAAATAATTTTAACATAGCCGATTCATCCCTTGGAGCGTTAACTCAAAGCTGTACCCGTGAATAACTCCTGCTTGTACCAACGACTGACACATCGGATGAGGTAACCCCCCATAGCCATAGCCATGACTATTAAAGCGGGAAAAATAACCTAGGGCGGTCGGCCAGAGTCAGCTTAATCCGACCCGACTATGGAACATTTTTTTTCGGGTGATAGAAAATCCGACACCTACAGGGTGTAAGCAGAAGGCAAGGACCTGTTCTGCACAGAATCCCTGACAAGCCGAAAGGGGATGGACGCATGTAAACCTCGTCGAAGTCTAAACTAACACAATGCCCCCCCCCCTCCTCCACACCCTAACGGACTGCTTGTGTACTGATTGCCTACTCTCCAGGCGTCCTCAGCCATTGCCCCGGCGTTCCCCTCGCAGTGTGCACGGGTCGGGGGCCACGTCCTTGTTTGTGGCGACGACGGCGACACAGTTGCAGCTACAACCGACACGTCCACTGGCAGCTTTATCAGAACCGACTGTAGAAATAAGTTCGCTCGGCGTCGTAAATGCTCACGCCCCTCTCCCCCCACCCGGACTATTTTTTTAGACAGTCCCTAAAAGACTGTCTCTACCAGAAGGAGGACCCCCCGCCCCTTTAGACGGGCTTCCCTCCCTTCCCCTCCGCTCGCTCGGCTAGGGCGCCACGCCTTCACTGGGAACTCTGTGGCCTGTTCGAGGGGACTGTCTCTTTCTTAGCCCTGTGGGCTAATTTTTATTTAAAAAGGAGGAGTACGACCTATTTTTCTCCGGCCTGTAGGTTTTTTCGCACGCTGAGTCCAAATCTGACAGTGCCGAGGTCGGGGACGGGGACGGGGACGTCATCGGGAACCTCCCGAGCACGCCGATGACACTCCCGCGACGAATGCGATTCGGCTCCAAACGCCGTGTACCCGGGCTGGTGTATATTTCTTAAAAGTCGCCAAATATAATTATTGTTATTAACAGCAAATCGCCCATAATAGTTTATTATCCTGATCATTTCATTATTGTCACAGCTACAGCACTTTCCTGGCGTTGCCCCCTGCAGCCACACAACGATGCACGCGGCGAGAGGCATCCCCAAAGGATCACATCCCGGACAAGCGAGGCGGGATTGCCTACCCCAGGCGTCCTCGGCCACAACTCCCTGAGGTTCCCCATAGAGCTGCGGCCACATGTTGCATGGGTCGGGAGCCCTAAAGAATCACATCCCGCGACCACGATATGTCGGTGAGTGTCATGGTCTGATCAGAACTTCTGCCGTATTGCTCTCCCCCTTTGCCGTGCCGCGTTCCCTACCCCTCTCCTCCTCCCCACCACGCATTTGCCGCGCCTTTATGGAAACGTAAACAAACAGTAATCGGTGTCGCGATCGGCGTCTTCTGCTCAATACCGATAATACCTACTCATTTGATTGGCCATGGGATTTTAATCAGAATTTTAGGGTGGACATCGCCGCTTTTCGATATTAATCGCAAGGTATAGTGCTTGATTGTTTACGGTCCGGAATATTGAATTGTTCCATTCCGGTTATTGCTGTAATGTAAGAGGTTAGTGTGCTCCAGTGCACAAGTTGTCAGTTATTTCTTTTGAGGCGGAGCAAATGATGCCCGTGATGTTACCTTAGCTCACTGTAAGCTTTGTTGAAAAGGTGTTGAATGGGTACACTTCTCCATTCCACACAGTATGTTAAATACTGTTGCAGGTCACTGTCAGTGTTTTTTCGTATATCATATATTTTACTCTATATTATTCTCGTGGAACACAAAACTTTATTACTTTCTGGTTGGGGTGCAAACCGAGTGGCACTATTTGTGTAATCCCCCAAACAATCAGTCATTGTGCGTTGCAGCTAATTTGCAGCTGCCCCTTCGTACCTAATGCTTGAGTCCAGTGCCAAATTATTAATTTGAAAGACCATGGACATTTAGAGATGTATGGGGGGAGAGGCATATAAACGTGTATTGTATGAGTAATTTAAATTTAATTAATAGTTGATGAGCACTAAAAGTACCGTTTAATATGATTGCAGGAACTCGGCCTTGAAATTTTCTTGACATGAGCAAGAGAAGTCTATGGAGTCATTTTACCGAATAGAATAGGTGAGTTGACATGACAGTAACCAACTCTGGTCCAATTTGTCTCTGTACAGACTCTATGAGGAGCTTCCTTTTGTGTGCATCAAAGGGTGTTTTTTGATGTTTTTTGTGGTGCCTTGGTTCTTTGTTGTCAATTTCAATCCTCCTCTGTCAAAATCCAGGCTGATTTGTTATCATTAAAATGTCTTTTAAAAATCTTGACAATTTGGAAAATTGCTGGAATTGGTTCGGATTGTTCGGGCAAACTCCCTTTTCAGTTACCCTGTTTAAATATCATGGTGCCGACCCAATGCAGCAGAGTTCTTAGCCAGTGCGCCTGCTTAGGTAGCCTACCTGCCCATAGTTAGAGAGACCAGCTTTTAAAACTCAAGTTTCTGTGAACAGGAGTGGTTTCTGACAGAAGCAAAGGTAGTTTTGTGGTCCCTGATTCACCCCTATCTATTCAAGTACTCCTCTGTCAAAAACCGGACCCATGCCTTTGTAAATTTTGCCAAAACTGAAAAAATTGAAAATCGCTGGAAATGATTGAGATTGCTCCTTTCAATATCTGCGTCGAAGTTTCACGCCGCCGGTCCATTTCAAGTAAGTTACACCTGTTTTTCTTGGACCGGTTCGCCTGCGAGGTAGGCAGCCCATCTTACGCTGCCCGCCAGATTAGACCACCCTTGAAACGCAAGTTTCTGTGGACAGGGGTGGTTTCTGACGGAACCAAAAGAAGTTTTGTGGCCCCCTGGGTCACCTCTGTCGATTTGACTACTTTTCCGTCAAAATCCGGACCCATCAATTTTCGCTAAAAACACAAAGGCAATAGCCTTTGTAAATTTGGCCAAAAATGACAAAACTTAAAATCGCTTGAAATAGTTGGAATTGGTCAGACTGAATCCTTTTTCAATCTCTGCGTCGAAGTTTAACGCCGCCGGGCCATTTTAAGTGAGATACGCCTGTTTTTGGACCGGTTCGCCTGCGAGGTAGGCAGCCCATCGTACGCTGACCGCCAGATTCAAAAGACCACCCTTAAAACTCAAGTTTCTCTGGAAAGGGGTGGTTTCTGACGGAACCAAAGGTAGTTTTGTGGTCCCCTGGGACACCTCTGTCGATTTGACAACTTTTCCGTCGAAATCCGGACCCATCAATTTTCGCTAAAAACACAAAGGCTATAGCCTTTGTAAATTTGGCCATAAATGAAAAATATAAAAATCGCTGGAAATGGTTGGGATTAGTACGACAGCATCCTCTTTCAATCTCTCCGTCGAAATTTCACGCCGCCGGGCCATTTTAAGTGAGTTACGCCTGTTTTTCTTGGACGGCCTCGCGCGCCAGATTCAAAAGACCACCCCGTAAACCCCAAATTTCTGTGGACAGGGGTGGTTTCTGACGGAACCAGAAGTAGTTTTGTGGTCCCCTGGGTCACCCCTGTCGAATCGACTACTTTTCCGTCGAAATCCGGACCCATCAATTTTCGCTAAAACACAAAGGCTATAGCCTTTGTAAATTTGGCCAAAAATGAAAAAAATTAAAATTGCTGGAAATGATTAGAATTGGTCTAGGAGAGTCTCCTTTGACCTCCTCTGTCGAAATTGCGTGCTTCCTGCCTCTTTTGCATCCCGTTTCTTCGACTATAAAATTGCGTCTTTGGTTTGTTGCAGGAAGACCGGCCTGGAGTTGCACCTGTCCTGGACATCAGCCGTGCGGCCCATGGAATCATCAGATATAAGTTGAGTTGGCGTCACAATGATTACAGCTGGTCCAGTTATTTTATTTTATTGTAAAGTCCCTTTGAGTAAGCTTGAATGATTTTCTCTCTGGCACCAAACTTTGTTGGCCATCTAAAGTCACTTTTCACGACAGGGGTGTTTTCAGAACCTAGCCATAATTTACCCCACTGTAA